AGGAATGCCCCAAATATAAGTTTCCTACCAGGTGAAACGCTGACCCAGAAAGGCCAGCTCCAGGAGCATGGTGGCCCTGAGATCCCACAGTTTCTCTTCTTGGCATCAGCCTGGCATCCATGAGGGCCCCTTTGTGCCCCTCCCCCAGCTCTTCTTTGGACTCTGGCCTCTCTGTGCCTCAGTTTCTTCATCTGGAAAACAGAGGAGGAAGGTCCTGTTAGCTCAGAGGCTGGCCCTGGAGACTCAGCACGACGAGGCAGCGAGCACAGGGTGGTCCCCCAACATGGGTGCCCTGAGCTATTATTTCTGACGTGGCTCCTCCCCAACCTCAATGCCAGACAAGGCAAGACTTCCTCCTTGCCCCTGGGATCAGCCAACCCGAGTTCACAGGGGCCAGAGAGTTCAGACACTCAACGGGCAGGTTGTGCCTCTATGCCACGTTTGAGTGTGTGTGTGTGTGTGTGTGTGTGTGTGTGTGTGTGTGTGTACACGCGCGCGCGCACAACATACAGCGCCCCTGGGTCTGTGTTTTCACTGCACTTTCCTGTTGGCTTTCAGCTGCCCCGCCAGCTCCAGGGAGGGCCCTGGGCCAGTGGCTGCCCCCGCCTTTATAAAGGGCTGGCGGGCCTTGGGGAAGCCTGCACAGCTGCCCAGCCTGAAGACACAGAGAAGCCCTGCCCTGTCTTCTGCTTCCCCTGCGGGCAGCTTAGACCATGGGAGGCCCCCGCAGCGTTGCCTTGTTCATCTTTCACGGTGAGAATTTTGGGGCCCCGTGGGGTGGGGGCAGGCAGCAAGGGAGTCCCTGACGGCACCATGTGGTGCTCCGGCCCCCTCTTCCCTGGGGAGAAACGCAAAGTGCGGTTGGCAGCTCTGGGGCCAGGACCGGAGGAAGCCACATGGTCAGGCAGGGGCTGAGGGCACATGGGGAGAGGGGCTGGTAGTGCCCAGCACCCCCAAGCCGTGGCAGGATCCCTCAGGGTGCTCTAAGAGCCTGCCCCCTCTCCCAGAGAAATCTCTGAGCTCTCTACTGGAGCCACTCTGGGGGCTGCTCCCAAAGCGGGGAAACAGGTTTGGGGAAGGAGAGGGGTCAAAAAGCGAGTGCTGGGACTCCTGAAGACAGCCGGGCATAGGGGAGCGCTGCGGGGCTGGAGGGCTGGGGGGTTGGGGTGGGACCTCTCCATTGAGGGGGTACCCCCAACCTGTCCCCCACTGTCTCAGTGGCAAGGGGCAGCCCCAGAGACCCTCATTCTGGCTCCCCTGGGCCCAGCTTGGACTCAGCTGTGGGTGGAAAGAACTTTGCCAGTGGACGGTTTGAACTTGACTTTTGCTGCGACTTCCCCAGGGCCTCCCTTCCCGCCCCACCCAGGGTGGCTCTACCGGTTATCGTGGGCAGCTGGTTGCCAGAGCAACCAAGCAACAAAGAGAATGAAGAAATGGCATTTGGGGTACCAACCAGAGCTTCCCCAGGCCACAGGGACGGGCTTCCCCGTGCTGGCCTGGGATGGCAGGTGTGAGCCCAGTGGCTCCCAGACTGGGAAGCAAGAAACTGGAATCTGTGTGGGGCACATCTGATGGGGGGTGGTGTGTCAGCGGAGCCAGATCTCACAGCCCCTGAGTCTCACTTTCCACATCTGTAAAATGTGGTAAGACTGGTCTTCACTTTATAGGGCTGTGTTAAAGGTTAACTGAGTTCGTATGCAAACTATTCCTGGTTCACAGAATTAAGTAAACGGTATTTATTATTATTTCACTGGCTGGTCTGGGGGGTAGACTGGGGGGTCCTTAGCAGGAGGATCAAGGAGAGGATGACTGCCCCATCCCCACCCCAGGAATCTTACGCCTCAGGGCTCGGAGGGGGGAATGCAAACCAGATGGGGCTGGGAGCAGATGACCAGCCGATCCACTCCCAGCTCCTGTTTGGGCGACTTCCAAGGACCCAGATGGAGAAGTCCTGGCCCAAGAGCCTCCGTGGTGGGGCAGCAGTGCCCAGCCTAGGCAGAGGTCACAGGGCACAAAACAACCGTCCCATCCCCCTGCAGCATCTGGGGACCTTGAGCCCATCAATTCCACCTTTTCCAAGCTTCTCTGTTCACCAGATTCTTCCTGAATCTTTTTCTGGGCTCTAAGCCTCAGTCTGTCCATCTGCAGAAAGGACACAAACAGGGCAGTTGTGAACGTGAAAGTTGCTACTGGGGACTTTGGGAGCTAGGGACAAATCAGCCCAGGTCCCATCCTACCAGGGAAGGCCATTTTGTGGTGTGTCATGCAAAGAGGAACTGAGCCCCAGCCAAGGGGTAAACTAGCCAAGCCCGGTGACCGGAGAGGAGGACGAGAGAAATCCTCACACGAGGGAGGGGAAGGACATTCCAGCCTCAGTTTACCCTGGCTGGGAGTGCTTCTGGGAGGGACTCTTGCCCACCGCCAGCCTGAGGGGTATCAAGTTTGGGCCTAGGGGCTGAGTGGTCAGGGGACCCTCCAGCCTGCACCCTTGACAGCCCCGCAAGCTTTGCGCATGATGATGGACCCCAGAATTCCCCTGGGAGCTCCCTCCAAAGGCAGAGAGCTATGAGTCATCTGTTCCCTTGGCCCAGGAAGTGACTCATGCCTGCCCTTCCTCCTGGCCCCCATCCCTCTGCCCACTGCCCCTTTTGGGTCTCCCTGGATTGTTGGGGTCTGCGCTGCCTCCCTGGCATTCCCATGTGGGCAGGGACTGGACGCCTCCCCCAAGCCCTCCCCATGCTTCCACCTGTTGCTGAGCTGCCCTCACCCCCTCACTCCCTTTCCCTCTGTTTCCATCCCACCCGCTTTCTAATTGTTTTTCTCTATCTTGCTCTCAATCGCCATATCTGTGTCTCTCTGTCCAATCTCTGCCATTTCTGTCTCTCTCTGAGTGTCCTGTTTCTGTGTCCCTCTCTATCACTGTCTTAACTTCTGTTTCTCTCCCTGTCTCTCCTCATCTCTCTGTCTCTGTTTCTTTCTCCCTCTCTCTCATCTCTGTTTTCTCTCCATCTCTGTCTTCTTGTCTGTCTGTCTCTGGTGAACCGTGAGGAGATCCCCATCTCTAAAGCCCCTGATGACTTGAGGAGACTCCGAGAGTGGGGTGCCCTTGAGCAGCAGGTACAGCCGGGGAGGAGGTGCTCGTCCAGCACCACCCCCAACGTGAGCCCACAGCATCTTCCTGTGCACAGGGGAGGCTGGGGTGAAATGTCACCACTGGGTCTCAAGACAGCCATCAGGGCTGACAGATGTTGTGGGCGTGATGTGCATGCACCTGTGTCCCCAAGGACGGGTGTGTGGGCTGGAGGATCTTAGATTCGGGGGTGGGGAGGATCTGAGAAAACACCCAGTCCTTTTCCTCCAACCCCCTCATTCTTACACAGAGAAACGTTGCACGGGGAACTCTACTCAATATTCTGTGATAACCTCTATGAGAAAAGAATCTGAAAAAGAATGAATACATGTGGGACTTCCCCGGGCGGTCCAGTGGTTAAGATTCTGAGCTTCCACTTCAGGGGACATGGGTTCGATCCCTGGTCGGGGAACTAAGATTCCACGTTCTTCGCGGTGCGGCCAAAAAAAAAAAAAAAAAAAGAATGGATATATGTATATGTGTAACTGAATCACTTTGCTGTACACCTGAAATTAACAACATTGTAAATCAACTATAATCCCATATAATTTTTTTTCAAAAAGAAAAGAAACGTTGATGACAGTAAACACTTTGACACACCAGGTGATATTCGCAGGCTTACTTCTCACACTACTCTAGGAAATGGGTCCCGTCACCATCCCCATTCTACAGAAGGGGAAGCTGAGGCTCTGAGAGATGAGGTAACCTGACCACAGTCCAGAATTTGAACTGCGGCTGCCAGGCTCCAGTCTGTTTACTGAACTGTTGCCCACAGAGCCCACAGGTCCACGGGAGCCAGGACCCCCTCAGTGCTTGGGCCCCTTCTCCATCCCTCAGTTTCTGAAACCCACCTCCAGGTGACAGGTGGCACAGCCTCTGGCCATGGGTGTCCAGTCTCTGGGAGGTGCCAAGTACTCACTCTCTCCTTGAGCAACGGACAGAGCCCAAGCCTGGGAGGGGCCAACAGCCCCCTTTCCACAGCTGCTTCTCTCTTAGCATTGTATCTGCCCTTCCCTGCTCTGGTGACCCCCTTGACCCTCCCCTTCTCTGTTCCAGTGCTGTGTGTCTTGCTGACTCTGTCGGAAGCTGGGTCCCAGAACACCATGGGTGAGTCTGCTGGGAGCAACTCAGTCCACAGCCGGAGCCTGGGGAAGGGGCCCTAGACCCTCACCCACCCCCCTAAGCCCAAACAGGAGAGAGGCCCATTGCAGGGGGAAGGCCAGGGTCATGCCTCCCCAACACCCCTTCTTATGGAGATGATCCTGCCCCGCTCCCCAGCCCCTGACTCAACCCTCACGTTCTGACCAAGGTCTCCATCCCCACAGCCTGTGCTCTGCAGTGCCCTGAAAACTCCTCATGTGTCAATGGCACCGCCTGCCGCTGCACTCCGGGATTCAGTTCTTTATCTGGGGAGATCTTCACCAACATCTTGGACAGCTGTGATGGTACAGAGGCTTGGGGGTGATGGAGGGACATGCAGAGATTGTGCGGTACAGTCCAATGCCCGTGGGGGGACATGGGTGTTGGTTGGGGGCTTCAGCCTTTCTCCTCAGGACCATCATCAAGGACAGAAAAAAGAGAAAGGAAAAGCTATGAGACAGGTGGAGAGATGAGACATGAATAAACATGGACTCCTGGAAAGAGAGGAGCTGGGTCTCCAGGAGTCTGGAGTCTGTGCCTCAGTTTGCCCTTTCAGGACTGAGGAGGGGGATGCAGAGCTTCCCCACCCCACACTTCAGCACTTCCCACTGTGTCCCAATCTGGGGTGCCACAGCCAGAGGGCCAAGAAGAGCAGAGCTGATCGTACAAGCTTTAGGAATGTCTTACTCCAGCCGCAGCCCAGCCTCAGCAGTATTGCCTGAGAGTCTAATTCTTTCTAAAAAGACGCTGATTAGCCATCAGGACCAGTGCTGGGGAGCCAGGTAGGGGATGGGGATCTCTGCCCTGACCAAAGTCACGCCTTTGGGAGGTGACCCTTTGCCCTGCTGTGTTCCAGACATCAACGAGTGCGGACCACCCTTGACAGTGTCCTGTGGAAAATTAGCAGACTGCCAGAACACGGAAGGGGGCTATCACTGCACGTGCAGCCCAGGATATGAGCTTATTTCTGGGGCAACAATGTTCAAGAATGAGAGTGAGAACACGTGTCGAGGTAAGAATGACCCTGCATCTTCCACTTCTCCATCCATGAGGTTTGGGGTCACCCAAATACTGAGTCATTCCTGTAGCATCCAGGGGTCAGGGCTTTGGTTACAGGTGTAGCACCCAGGTCTGAGTTGGGACAGATGTACCTGTGCCTTTCCCACCTGCACAGAGAGGCAGGGCGGCATGAGCCAGGGACCCAAATCCTGGCTTTGCCACCTGGTAGCTGTGTGTGTGACACTGGCCAGGATACTTATTCAGAAATCACTGTTAACATGTGAGATGTGATAATACTATTGTGAGTGTATGGGGTTTTTGTGTGTGTGTGTGTTTTTTTTGCGGTACGCAGGCCTCTCACTGCTGTGGCCTCTCCTGTTGCGGAGCACAGGCTCCGGACGCGCAGGCTCAGCAGCCATGGCTCACGGGCCCAGCCGCTCCGCGGCATGTGGTATCTTCCCGGACCGGGGCACAAACCCGTGTCCCCTGCATTGGCAGGCGGACTCTCAACCACTGCGCCACCAGGGAAGCCCTGTTTTGTTTTTTTTAGAGTCTCTATCTTTTACAGATAAAAACAAAAGGAGCTTTGCCTTTTATTAACTGTGTGATTTTGGACAAGTTACTTCACCTCTCTGTGCCTCGGTTTACCCATCTGTAAAAAGGGGGTGACCAATTACCTCATAGAATTGCCAGGAAGGTATAGGAGATCACAAAACACAAAACAGTGACGGCTGTTGGGTTTTTTAATTATAATGATTATGATTTAATGTACCCTTTCCAGGATGGGCATCCCTGTGGTTCGTGCCCCACGGTGGGTGCTCGGGAGCAGCTGTCCCAGTCCATCCCCTTACCAGGGACCCCGGAGGAGCCTGGTCTCCACACATCACCAGATTTTGCCCCCTTTCCAGAGGGGGCAGGCAGGCAGGGAAAGGGGCAGATGGGGCTAGCAGTGGACAGACAGGAGCCACGACTCCAGAGAGGGGTCCAGAGAGGGGATTAGACACGAATACTGAGGACGGGGAGGGGAAGGTGGGAGGTGAGGAAGAGGCTGAACCCAGGGTCCAGAGGACTCTGAGTAGGGTCCACAGGCCCACCCTTCTGCTACCTTGGTCCCAGCGCCTTCCCTCCTGCCCTGCAGAGGGAGGGCGGCAGAGCCTCCCTGGTGGGAGGGAAGAGAGGACCTGCATCTATGTGGAGGTGTTGCTGGTCCACAGGGGCCTCTGTGGGGGTATGCTGTGCTTGAAACATGTGGCCTGGCCAGGGCCTTCACGTGAACTGGAAAAATGTCCCTCATCTCCAAGGTGAATACTGTGTGTTTAGGGAATGGAGAGTGAGCTGGTTTTCCTCTCCCACTTGCCTCCTTGGCTGGACACCCTTGTGCAGTCAGCAACCTGCACAACTGTACATGGTGGTCATGGAGCCCACTCAGTGTGCTTCGGCTGGGGGTGCCACCCACCCACTGTTGTGAGCCCCTGCAGAGACACGGATGAACAAGAAGAGTGAGGTGTGAGAGGGAGCTCTACGGACCTCAAGGAGGGTGACTGCGAGAGAGCAGCCTGCTGGTTTGGACCAGAGTTTGCTGCCTGAAGACCTAGCTCTGTGACTGGCTCAGCTGGACTGTCTGTGCACCCTTTCCTCAGCATTCCAACCTTTGTCGCACCTGAGGATGTGTCCGCCCATGTCCTGGCCGTGGAGTCTGCTACGGGCAGGAGACACGGGCTGCTCCCTGGGTTCCTCATCCCACTTTCTCCAGGCATCAGAGGGCCGTCCTGTGCACCTACCTCATCTCCCAACCCTCTCTGAACCCCAAGGCTCAAAACCCTTTGCAGAGGGTCACTTCCAGATGTTTGGAACATCCCCCCGGCCACCTGGCATCTTATTTGCATGAAACAAAAGAGTGGCTGGCATTCAAGATACTCAATGAGGTCACAGCACCGTGTGTTCCAGCACAATATCTGCCCTCTTCGCCGCTGTTAGTGACTGCTGGGAGGATACCTGCCCCTCTGGGGCCCTCTCAGACCCCCTGGGCCATGGTGGACCCTGGGACCCTGTCCAGAATGCGGGAGGAGGGAGATTCAAGGACAGGCCCACCGTCCCTGGCCAGCCCTGCCCTGGCTCAGCAACCTGCCTGGAAAAGATGCCTCCTGGCACCCTGACCCCAATTCTCAGCCGCTCAGCTTCCATCTATTTCCCCACACAAGGCTCCACCCTGACCCTCCCCAGTAATTCCAGTTCACGGACCTGAGGCAGCTCTGATGACTGGGGCCTGGGAGGACGTTGTGCCAGGGGTGGGCAGCGTGACATCGAGCCCCCAACACACTGGAAGAATCAGATGAACAAAGAGGCTCCCATCTGGACCAGATGACAGGAGAGGTTGTCATCAGGGACCATTGCCCCTGGCCTGACCCTCCACTGAAGAGATCAACTCAGGCCCCACGATGACCCAGACCATGTGGGGACAGAAGATGGAGGCTGAGCCCCACTCAGCAGGGTCCACAGGTCTACGTCCCAGGTGAGAGGCCAAGGGCCAAGATGACAGAAACACCTGCCACCCTTCATGCATGACACCTGCTCCCTGATCCAGCCACCCAGCCATTGCCCACTGCAGGCCTTGCTCAGATGTGGATTCTCACCACTTCCTGCCAATCTAGGCGATGCCTTCGTGGGAATCAGAAAAAGGCACCTTCACAGGCCCAAGGCTGCCTGGCCAGACATCAGCCCCACTGTCCAGCACAGCCTGGTGCCCACTGTCCAAGTGGCCCTGGCCTTTCCGGCATCACCCTCATTTTCTGTGCCACTGCCCAAAAGCCTCGTCCTTGAGGGGCGTGGCTCAGGGGTGGGTCTTGGTGCATCTCCATGGAGCTGGAGTCTCAGAGTTAGTGTGGACAGGAGAGTGCTGTCCCGCCAGGGTCACCAGGATCCAAGGAGAACTCAGCTGACAGCACTTACTCTGGGGGAGTCAGGACAAAGTCCGTCACCGGGAGTCAAGATGGGGCCTCCCTGCTCAGGGAACACAGCATTTCTCCTGCACTCGGTTCCCAGGAAGGCACACCCAGGCCTTTGTCCAAATCCTTAGGCTGGGACACAAGCAGCTGTGATGTCCCCACCACAGCTGGGAGCTTCCCAGGGAGGCTGAGAGAGCCAGAGCCGGCAGACAGGGGAGGACTTGGGTCACTCCTGGCCACATCTGGACAACAGAACATCTGGACCACCATGCTCACCCATAGGATGCCTCCATGTGAATTAGAAAAGACCCACTCACCGGGGGAGAGAGCGGGCCCTATGCTTCTATGCTAGGAAATGTGGCCAACCCCCAGCCCAGAAGGCTGTCCACAGCTGCAGGCATCCATCATCCTCCCCTTCCCCTCGCGGATGTGGATGAATGCCAGCAGAAACCCAAAGTCTGTAAAGGCCACAGCACCTGCATCAACACGCAGGGCAGCTACATCTGCCAGTGCCCACCTGGCTTGGAGCTCAACCTGGAGGACCCAAGACTGTGCACAGGTAGAGGCCCTGGGAAGACAGTGTGAGGCTGGCCTGGAGCCTCAGGAGGAGGGGGAAGAGCCTCAGGTTCCTGCAACGCCAAGGGCCTGCCGGGGCCCTGCCCAAGGATTCGCCTCCGCGAAAGGTCCCACCACAGGCCAGGGAGGCAGCAGAGCCTTCTGGGCCTGGGGCTCCCTTGTGGAGTTCCCTGCCCCCGTGAACATCCCCCAGACCTCGCCCCTTCCTCATCTGTCACCCTCGAGCAGAGGAAGCTGTCACTTCCTGTTCCCAGAAGGGGAACCTCAGTCCAGGGCTGGACTTCCAGACCCCATGACTCAGTCTCCCTCCTGGTTTTACTATAAAGTGGGGACCATGGCCCCTGCCACACCCATCTTGCAGGGAGGCTACCTTAAGGTGCTTTGAGGGTGAAGTTGAAGGTCACCAGGTGATGGCACGTGCAATCACAGTGGGGTCCTTGGTGCTGGGCAGTGATAAGCAGGTACAGTGAGAAGTGGAAGTGGGGGGCGCCTGACCCTCTGGCTTTGTCCTCAGTTGTGAATGAATGTACCTCGGGGAGAAACCCATGCCACAACTCCAGCCACTGCTTCAGCCTCGTGGGCACCTATAAGTGCCACTGCCGTTCAGGCTGGAAGCCAATTCCTGGGGCCCCCAGCGGCCCAAACAACACTGTCTGCGAAGGTTCAGAGCTCAGATGCTATGTTCTTGGAGACCCACACTTAAAACATCTGATCACATATTCAGTGGCACCCACACAAACCAAACAGAAAGAATGCTGGGGGAGCCCTGCTGTGCCAGGCATTAATTCTTTTGGGGCTAAATGTCAAAACATCTGGGGGTCCTGGGGAAGGAGCTGGGGTGCCAAGAGAAAAGCTCCCAGGGACTCCAGGCAGCAGCTAATTACTAACTGAGACGAAGATACGTCAGTATTTTCACAACCTGCCTATCTGTATGGGGCCCACCTGCTATGTGTCAGAACTCTGCACACTTCCCATAAATAACCTCAGCGTCCACCGTTCGATGATGTGCAGTCACCAGGTGGCATCACCTCCGGGCGTGGGAAGGGGCACTAATATGGGTAAAAGAGGGGCACAGAGAGGAGAGGGGCCTCATCAGGGCTGGGACAGAGTCAGACCCCCTTCTTCGTGTCCCCAGATATGGATGAGTGCAGCTCCGGGCAGCATCAGTGTCACAACTCCACCATCTGCCTCAACACCGTGGGTTCATACACGTGTCACTGCCGCCAAGGCTGGGTGCCCAAACCCGGATTCCAGGATAAGCAAATGGGCACCATCTCCTGCGAAGGTACCTGTCCTGACCTGACCCCAGACCCCCTCCTACAACAAGCACAGACACTCTCACACCTAATGAACTGCTGTCCTGTCCCCTGCAGAGATCTCCTTCCCCACCTGGACCGCACCCCCTGAAATCAAGAGCCAGGTGAGTGGCCCCAGCAGGGAACAGGAGACAGGAAATCCTCCACCCATCTCACCCTGTCCACCCATTTTCCCCAAGCTCCCCCATCCAGGATGAGGTTCTCTGACCCCCCTTCTCTTCCCTCTCTCCAGAGTCTCTCTGGCTTCTTTGAAAGAGTCCAGAAAATGAGCATAGACTTCAAGTCAGCCTTGCCCCAGGAAACCATCCAGGTAAGGGCAGGCCCTGGGGGGGAAACCACAGGACAGTGTGGGGTGGCTGGAGGATGCTTCAGTGTGACTGGAGATGCCCAAGCAGGGGCCTCTGTGTCTGCATGCACAATATACACACACACCATATATATACATTGTACAAACACACACACACACACACACACACACATTTGAGAGGGATATAATGGCAGTAGAATGAAGCAGTTGAGAATTTCACCTCTGGAGCCAGGCCTCAAGGTTCAAATACACCCCAACCTACCCGCTGCCACTTCCTGCTGTGTGACCTCAGGCAAGTGACTCCCCCTCTCTGGGCCTGTCTCCTCACTTCATAAATGGTGCCTGCTTCATACAGGTGGTGAAAAGGTTTAAATGAACTAATAGAAGTAAGGCTCAAAGAATAGTGCCTGGCACACAGTATAAGCAGTATACGTAAGTTTTGGCATATGTCCTTAGCCTGGTAGAAATATTGAGCCCCTAAAAAATAATAATAATAACTTTTAAAAAGAGAAATATGTGAGGAACTTCGCTGGTGGTCCAGTGAGTAACACTCCACACTCCCAATGCAGGGGGCCTGGGTTCCCTGGTTGGGGAACAAGATCCCGCATGCGTGCCGCAACCAGTAAGAGTCCTCATGCCCCAACTAAAGATGCCGCATGCCGTACAAAGATCCCATGTGCTGCAACCAAGACCCCGCGCAGCCAAAATAAATAAATAAATATTAAAAAAAGAGAGAGAGAGAGAAACATGTGAGCCCCTTGTGTCATTTAAAATTTTCCTGTAGCTACATTTTTAAAATATAAAAGTAGGGCTTCCCTGGTGGCACAGTGTTTGAGAGTCTGCCTGCCGATGCAGGGGACACGGGTTCGTGCCCCGGTCTGGGAGGATCCCACATGCCGCGGAGCGGCTGGGCCCGTGAGCCATGGCCGCTGAGCCTGCGTGTCCGGAGCCTGTGCTCCGCAACGGGAGAGGCCACAACAGTGAGAGGCCCGCGTACCGCAAAATAAAAATAAAAAATAATAAAATAAAATATAAAAGTAAAGAATAAATTTAAGAGTAAAAGTAAACAAGTGAAATTAATGTGAAAATTGCATTCAAACTATTACCATTCCAACGTGGAGCCATATTTCAAGCGACACCTGTGGCTCGTGGCAACTGTTCTGGGGCAGTGCAGACTTAGAAAAGGGCCTGACATAAAGCCTGTGCCTGATAAATGTTAAGCGCTGTCGTTGTTATAATATGTGCACACAGGCATATACTCAGCCCCCTTACTTGTCTTCTGGCTACTGCAGTGTCTTGAAGATTCCCCTGTGTCTGTCCCCCAGGCAACCCAGGTGGTTCTCCAGTGTGTACCCCAGTTGTGGGGGTGGGGTGAGGGGAGGTGAGATCAGGGTCCTTCAGGCAGCTCCTGTGGTGCAGTGACCCAGCAGCTGTCACCCAACACCCACAGTACCTCATCATGTCACTGGATGACCTGTTGAAAACCCCAGGGGACCTGGAGGCCTTGGACCTGTCTTCCAGGCACCACACAGCCACCTACCTGTTCTCAGGCCTCGAACAAATCCTGAGGACCCTGGCCAAAGCCATGTCTGGAGGCTCCTTCATCTACCATTCTCCTGGGGACACAGGTGAGACCCTGTCCTGCCCCGCCCCAGCCCCGGGCCCCCCTCATACACCCAGAGCCCCTGATCACTGCCCCCTGTCCCCTCAGAGCTGTCCCTGATGGTCCAGGAGCAGGGGAATGGAAACATCACTGTGGGCCAGAGCCATGCACGGATGCTGCTGGACTGGGCCGTGGCAGCTGGAGACGAGAAGTCCGGTAATGGCAGGATCCGGAGTGGGCACCTGAGGGAGAGTGATGGAGAAGCTGGGATATGCCTAGGGGTGAGATTCAGAATATGCAGCAACTGAAAACTGACCCATGGGGAGGGACTCCAGGCATCACAGTGGACTGGTGAGACTGAATTAGACATCTTAGGAGGGAGGACGGGGCACAGAAGGAAGCAGCACAGAAGGTAGTCAGCGTGTCTGTCCCCCAGGCCCCACCGTGGTAGGAATCCTCTCCAGCCCAAACATGCAGAAATTGCTAGCCAACGCCTCTTTGGACCTGGACTTGGAGAAGCAAACCGAGCTGAAAGAGATCTACGAAAGTCCTGTCCGCGGCGCCCAGCTCAGGCTTCTTTCAGCCGTCAACTTGGTCTTTCTAAGCAACACGAACACAGATAAACTCAACTCCAAGGTCACCTTCGCCTTCTCCCACCCTGTGAGTCCTTGGGTGGGGAGGGGGGTTCAGCCCTACTGCTCACCCCATGGCCAAGGTCACCGTGGTCCCTCTGCAGCTTTTGTTTCCCCACCTCCACCCACTCTGCTCCTTCCTTACAGGTATCTCAGGGCCTTTGCACTTGCTGTGCCCTCTGCCTGGGACAACTTTCCTCCACATGACTCAGTCCTTTACCTGTCTCCAGTCTTTGTTCAAATGTCACCTCCTTTTCTAGGCCTTCCCTGACCTGCTTATTTTAAATTACAATCTGTAATCACGCCCCACCTTTCCCCTTTGCTCTTTTCTTTCTTTCTTTTGCACTCAGCACCTTCTAGCACACTATCTTGTTTACTTATTGAAAATTTATTAGGTTTATTATTTTCTGTCTGTCTCCCCCACTAGTATGTCAGCCCCAGAAGGACAGGGACTTGTGTCTGCCCTGTTTACTCCCGTATCCCCTGGCCTGACACACACAGCAGGTGCTCAGTAGACAAATGCCAAATGAAAAACAGCCCTCTTTGGGTTCAACCCAAGCCCAGTACCCAAGAGTGGGTTCCAGGCTAACCTCTACCACCGCCCATACCTGCTCACAGTGGGAGATGCCCGGGACAAGGCAGGAGCTGATCTGTGCCTTCTGGAAGAGTGACAGCAACAGAAGAGGGTACTGGGCCACCTCGGGCTGCCAGACACTGGGCAGCGGAAATGGCAGCACCACCTGCCAATGCAATCACCTGAGCAGCTTTGCCATCCTCATGGCCCACTACGATGTGGAGGTGAGCAGACCAGGGGCCATCCTCAAAAGCCCACAGGTGGCATGGTTGGCTTCGGTGAGACAGGCACCTTGTTCTTGGGGGTACGGTCCACCTGATTCTGTATGGTTGCACAGCCCAGGTGGCCCTACACCACACCTCCCAGCCCCTTCCCTGGGACCCCCCAGACCTCCACATGACCCAGCAACTAAACAGAGTGGCCTGGCACTGCAGGCCCTGCTCCAGTCCGTGCCCCTCTGACCGCTCACCCACTAACAAGTTGTTAAATATCCCTAAAAGCTCCTGAGGGAGCACAGCTTTCTGTATGTGGCCTCAGAGCGATCCATAGATATGCTGGGCCATGTGAATACCTGGAAATGGGCCAGGCAGAGTAGGGGAGGCTGGTGGTCCAGGCCCAAGGCCCAGGAAGGACAAAAATGTGGGTTTTGAGGAGCTCATAGGTGTGGCCAGGTGTAGGAGGGGCAAGAGATGAGATAGAGATGAGGGTCAGAGAGATGGGCTCATCAGTGTTGGGAAAGAAGGTTGCAGCCATTGAGGCCTCACTGGGGACCTTCTCAGGAGAGCTGTCTGCGTGTGTAGTGGGGAAGCCCATCTGGAAGAACTAGGGATCCCTGCTGCACCCATGGGGGTGGGGGTGGTGGTATTTAGGATGAGACACAGCACGTTTACTCAGATGTTGATGGCAGAGGAGGTGGGGGGGAGATGAGCCACCTGATCAGAGTCCTACAGGCCAGGTCCCAGGTGCTTGTTAGTGGTGGGGCCCACAAGGCGGGCAGGAAGGCCTCAGAGCGCTAATCGAGTCCCGCCCACCCCGTCCTGCATCCAGGACTGGAAGCTGGCCCTGATCACCAAGGTGGGACTGGCTTTATCGCTGGTCTGCCTGCTGCTGTGCATTCTCACCTTCCTGCTGGTGCGGCCCATCCAGGGCTCGCGCACCACGGTGCACCTGCACCTCTGCATCTGCCTCTTCGTGGGCTCTACCATCTTCCTGGCGGGTATCGAGAACGAAGGCGGCCAGGTGAGGCCCCGCCCCGTGTAAGGCCCCACTCTTGCCTGAGCGCTAGACCTACCTGCGATGGCCCTGAGTGGGATAGCCCCGCCCACTCCCAGCTGGGTCCGGTGGTCGGGCCCGGGAAGCCCAGGGCCCCGCCCATTCGCCCGCACGGCCTCGCCCTGACTCCGCCCGCCATCCGGCGTCGGGCCCGCCCATCGCTGACGTCGCCCTCCCCTCCGTCCCTCCGCCCCGCCCCCGCCCCGCCCCCGCCCCGCAGGTTGGGCTGCGCTGCCGCCTGGTGGCCGGGATGCTGCACTACTGCTTCCTGGCCGCCTTCTGCTGGATGAGCCTCGAGGGCGTGGAGCTCTACTTCCTCGTGGTGCGCGTGTTCCAAGGCCAAGGCCTGAGAAAGCGCTGGCTGTGCCTGATAGGCTACGGCGTGCCGCTGTTCATCGTGGCCGTCTCGGCGGCCATCAAGAGCCAGGGCTACGGCCGCCCCCAGTAGTGAGTGCGAGGTGGTGGGAGAGGGCCAGGGCGTGGAGGCTGCACCCAAACACAGTGCCCCTGCTCGCCTGTGACCCCGCCTCTGGGCTTACTGGGTGCTGACCAGACCCCTCCCTTCTCGCCCAGCTGCTGGTTGGACCACGCCAACGGCTTCCTCTGGAGCTTCCTGGGACCTGTGACCTTCATCGTTTTGGTAACTGCCTCACTCCCCACCCCACACCTGTGGAAACCTGAGGTGCTTGGCTCCACACTGAGCCGGCTCCACCGGCTTTCTCCCTGTGAGTTCCAAGGACACCCCCTAATCCGAATTCTGTGCTCCCCACCCAGTGCAATGCTGTCATCTTCGTGATTACTGTCTGGAAGCTCACTCAGAAGTTTTCTGAAATCAACCCAGACATAAAGAAACTAAAGAAGGCCAGGTGAGAGCAGGGGCAGGGAGGGGGCCTGGCAGGAGTGGGTGTGTGAGGCGAGGACCTTACGCGGCAACTGCCCACCTCCCCACAGGGTGCTGACCATCACCGCCATCGCCCAGCTCTTTGTGTTGGGCTGCACCTGGGTCTTCGGCCTGTTCCTCTTCGACCAACATAGCTGGGTGCTGTGCTACACCTTCAGCATCCTCAACAGCCTGCAGGGCCTCTTCCTCTTTGTGCTGTACTGCCTCCTCAACAAGAAGGTGGGCTGCAGGCCGGGCTGCGGGTGGGGCTGGGACCCTAGGCCTGGGGCCCCCTCCTCCCCTGACCTGGCACCCTGTGCCCCACAGGTGAGGGAGGAGTACCGGAGGTGGGCCTGCATGGTCACCAGGAACAAGTACTCCGAGTTCGCCACATCCATCTCTGGGTCTGGCTCCAGCCAGAGTCAGGCTCAGGTAAGGGCTGAGCCTGGAGTCGGGGTGCAGGCCATAAGGCACCTGGGCCTGGGATCAGTTCTCACGGGGCTCCTTTCTCTCCAGGCCCTCAGGTCCTCAGAGTCTGGCATGTGAAGGCGCCGTTCTGGCTGGGCCAGCGGCTCCCGTGGCCTCCCCAGCTCCTGCACATGCTGAAGACCTCCTCTCCTCTCCCACTGCTCTGCTCCCTCCTGCCTTGGTCCCCATACGCACCATGGAGCGGAGGGTGACAACTGCCATCTGGCACTGTACTCCAGAATACCCAGCCGGGGTGGAGAGTCGGACCTACTGGGCCTGCTTCTGGCTGCCTCTCAGCTCCACCCTAGCCAGGACCCAGGGTAGGGGCAAAAGCTGGCCCAGGACTGCAGCCCCTACACAAGGCCCAGACAGACCGAGGGCTCCCGTGCCCAGCCTGGCCCTCCCCCCTCATCTGTCTTTGCTACAGAACAAGAGGCCAGGGTGCTGGGACTCAGCACCGGTTAAGCTAAGACTGAGGTCAGGGGTGGGAGAAGGGCAGGGCCGAAGGCTCATGGTACAGAGGCCCATCTGCCCCCAGGGCAGAGGGTTCTCACTGATGTGAAGGCTGTGGATACTGTGTAATGTTTTTTATCTGTATAAACCTTTCAGTGTTGACACTTAAAATTAAATATCACGTTGACATAGAAAGTGGCATTTCTTCCTGGCTAAGGGCTCGGAGACCAGGCCCATGGTGTCCACGAAGTGCCGAGAGCTGACAGAAACAGACAGGGTGGGAGCCAGGCTTCCATAATAAAAATTTATTCTTACACAAATCTACAGCTTTTAAACAGTAAAAAGAAAGGCCCACTGTCACCTAGGAAGAGGACTTGAAGCAACATGTGGGAAGCAGGGAGGCTCCGGGACATCCGGGCACATGGTTACCGGCTCTGCTCAACTGTAGGACACATACAGGGAAGGTCAGTGAGGAGGGGGCGGGGGGAAGAAAGGGCCCCACCGCTGTGGCCCCCCAAGCCCTGTCTGAGCCACTTACTGTATGTGGAGATGTCTATTTCTTCTGGAAGCTCTGCCACATTCACTTCAAATCGGTCCTGGACATCATTGAGGATTTTGGCATCATTCTCATCAGACACGAAAGTAATGGCCAGGCCTTTGGTACCAAAGCGACCCGCACGGGCCACCTGCAGGGAGACAGGAGCAGGGGTCAGGCCACAAGACACAAGCTGGGGATCTGAGAACAAGCAGGGAGAGGTCCTCATCCAACACCAATCCTGGGAAGGGGGCACCAGGGAGGGGACACCTCTGGGGGGCCACTCACGCGGTGGAGGTAGGTGTCTGAGTCCTCAGGCATGTCATAATTGAAGACAATGTTGACACGCTCAATGTCCATTCCTCGGCCAAACAGATTGGTGGCCACCAGGATCCGCCGCTGGAAGTCCTTAAACTGCTGATAACGTGACAGGCTGGGCGCAGGAGGAAACAGGGGCGGCCATCAGATACAGGGATCCTGGGCGGCGCTCCCCTCCAAGGGGCCTGCCTGGGGCTCTGAGGGCGGCACGCACTCACCGCTCCTCCTGGGCCATGCCCCTGTGGATGGCAATGGCTGGGAAGTTCTGCTCCACGAGGAGCTGGGCCAAGGCCATGCAGCGCTGCACCGACTTCACAAATATCACCACCTGTGAGGGAGGGGGCGGCAGTCAGGCCAGAATCCCTTCCAAAGGCTTAGAGCCCCAGGACAGGCCACAGGAGTGCGGAAGCATCACCTGGTTAAACTCCAACACATCCAGGAGGTCAAAGAGCTTGCGGTTCTTCTCACTGTCCTTCAGTTTGACGTAGTACTGCTGCAGCCCATGCAGCGTGAGCTTGGTTTCGTCATCCACAAACACCTCCATGGGCTGTGCCGGAAGGAGAGGAGGAAGGGGCAGGCAGGGCTTACTTCTGGGCATCCTGCCTGCCGAGAACTTTCCAGGAGCGACTCCTTTGCTGCAATGCTTCCAGAGAGCCTGCTGTACCCCAGTAAATACTCCTCTCTCAGCAGCTGCATCTAAGGTCTGGTCTGGCTCTAGTGTAAACCAAGCTCTCAGCTCCCAGTGTGACAAGCGAGGAAGAGAGCTCCGCTGGCCTCCCAGCATTCGTGGGCCGTGAGGGCAGTGTGGGAGTGGGGGAGCAGCAAGGGCCTGGACTCTAGGAGGCCAAAGCTACTGCACCAAGGTCTCGGCCTCTACTCACGTCTTGCATGAACTTCCTGCAGACGGGCCGGATCTCCTTGCTCAGGGTGGCGCTGAACATCATGCACTGCTTCTCGTGGGGTGTCAGCCGGAAGATCTCCTGCACGTCCCGCCGCATGTCTGGGTGGGGAGGGCAAGAAACAGGTGGGCGTGAGCGCCTGCCAGACCACGACCCCCACCCGAGACCAGATCCAGCCCCTCCCAACCTGTGCCAGGGAGCCGTTGGCACCATGACGAGGGCGGTGTGAGCGAGGACTGGCTGGAGGGGAGAGTCCCAGGTGCCTCAAGGCCCGGACTCAGGGTGAGCACAGGCGCGGGAGGAGCGGCAATCCACTTACACGCTGCCAGAGCGGAGCAGCCGTGCCAGCGCGCCTCGAGCCACGCTTCAGGGAGGGGAGCCTGAGGCAGAGACAGCCGCTGGGGTGAGAGCTGCAGCCGCCTCCCAGGACACAAGCCCCATCTCCCACCGGCCCTGTCAGGGCTCACTGAGGGCAGGCAGGGGCCTAGAACTAACCCAACAGGCAGCGAGGCCACGGTACTGAGGGCTAACGTGGACATATGCCTGGATACGGCTCACGTGGGGTGCCACGGTCGCACTCGAGCTTAAGCTCAGAAGCAGCAGGTCACTCTGCCAACACCAGAACTCTCCCTGAAATCGCTTACAGGAGACCTGAGTGCTGGCCACCCACGGGATCCCATTTCGGGGAGACCTCCGGCCTGCCCTGTCAGGGCCCGCCTAGCTCTGATGTGTGAGTGGGGGGGGCTGCGAGGGCCTCCACAGCCCCCAGACCAGCGAGGACACTCACCCAGCTGCTCCAGCATCTTGTCACACTCGTCCAACACGAAGTGCTTCACATTCTTGAGATTGAGGCTCCTGTTGCGCACAAGTGCCAGGATCCGGCCCGGCGTCCCCACCACGACATGGGGACAGTTCTTCTTCAGCACCTCCTCATCCTTCTTGATGGAGAGGCCCCCGAAGAACACCGACACCTATGCAGGCGGAAAGCTGCTTTCAACCACCCGGCGGCCGAAAGCCCACACCCCACTCTGTGCCTACGGTCACTCAGCTAACGGCCCGCCGGCAGCCCCCCCGCACCCCAGGCCTGGTGCCTGGAGACAGCGGAGGCCTGAGAGTCTGGCCCCAGCTTCACCGAAAAGCAGCCCCAGGGCTGGGACCGGCAAAGGCCTCCGGGGGCCACGCATAATTCATCAAGCTTTTAAGGAGCATAAACCACCACAAACCTCAAAGGCAGCCACTGCAGCCAAGCTTGGTTAATGCTGGCTGGGCTAGAGCCGAGGCCAGCAAGGCTGCAGAGGACCACATGGCACCCAACCTGGCCTGAGGGGGCTCACCTTGACGCTGGGCATGTATTTGGAGAAGCGCTCATACTCCTTGCTGATCTGGAAGGCCAGCTCTCGAGTGTGGCACATAACCAGGACTGTCACCTGTGGGGCCGGTCGGGGAGAGACACTCAAGACAGTCCCCTAAGTCCTCCCCCGGCCAGAGCCCACGCCGGTGCTCATCCGTTGGCGGCCCCCAGCCCTTGGGCCATTGGAAGGCCCAGTTCAGATGCCTCCATCTTCTCACAGCCCGTCACCTGGTGCTCATTCTCTGTGTCTTCTCACAGCTACTCAGCTGTGTCTCCCTACGCCAGGTCCTGCACTGAGGCCTCAGTAAGAGTTAGACCCAGCCTAGCTGGTGATGCGCCCCATGCCAACAGCTTCCTGAGCCTGCCCTCGGGCTGGCCTGTGACCACCAAGGGGAAGGCTGCCCCTGCCTCTTGGCCCACAACACGAAGCACTGAGACCACACTGTGGCCTCGAACAAAATCCTCCTCTCCTTGACCATCCACCCTAAGGTCAGTAACAAGGGCTCACGCACCCATACACAGCCCAAGGATGTGTGCCCCAGCATGTCAAGAATGAACACCAGCATACACCTCAATTATCCCCCAAAACAGGGGACTACAATGTTCATGACATGAGAAGTACAGCTACGGCCTCTCAGCAATAACAACAGGAACAAAACCGTGTTCAGTGTAATCCCACCTTCATAAGTGTGTACAATCTAGAAAAGCACACATGGAAATAGCAGCCATCTTGCTGGATGGTCAAATTGTGGGCACTTTCTAGTTTTTTCTCTTGGCTTGTCGTTTTTGGGGCGATTTTGTTACAACTAAGTACTGTGTTTAATTTTAAAAGTCCAGAAAGAGGATGCAGGAACAGGGATTTTTAAAAAGAGGAGCCATGACTCCTGCTGCCTCAGGTATCTTGGGCCTAGGAAGGAGGGTTCCCACCCACCTGTCCGTTGACGGGCTCAATCTGCTGCAGGGTGGCCAACACAAAAACCGCTGTCTTGCCCATCCCTGACTTGGCCTGGCACAGGATGTCCATGCCCAGGATGGCTTGTGGAATACACTCGTGCTGGACTGAGGGGGAGAGAGCATGTGAGCTATCAGAAACCAGATGTTCCCTCTGTGCAGGCCCCTCACCGGGTGGCTGAGGGGACCACACTGAGGCTGTCAGAGGTGGGCCTCGGCGGGAAGGACCAGAGAGGCATACCCTCGGATGGATGCTCGAAGCCACAGTCCACTATGGCCCTCAGGAGCTCAGGCTTCAGCAGAAAGTCCCGGAAGCCAGAGCTGTGGATGGAAACGTAGGAACCCTTGACATCTTTCTTGGGGGCAGTTGGAGCGCTCTCTGGAGGAGCCTGGGGCTCTTCATCTTCCTCATAATCCAGAAGCTCGTTTTCCACATCCTGTTCCGCCATGGTGCTGAGAACAGAGGAGGGAGGGAAGGGCTGAGGGAAGCAACTAAGGTGACTGATGCATGCAGGTAAACCCACCCAGCATGGGAGAAGTGGGAGATGGCTGCACAGAAGCTGCTGGCTGT